GGTTGGTGGGTTGGTGGGTTGGTGGGTTGGTGGGTTGGTGGGTTGGTTTCTTAATCTAAGATCAGACTTTACTATCTCATTCTCATTTTTGAGTATTTATCTCTCACGCAAACAAACTTATAATTTTACCATATGTTTATTTCTTTTGTCCGTAGCTTGGTTATAAAGCAGATGAAGACAATAAGAAAAAGATTGGCCACCTGGCTGACTGGGGTGTCCGAAACATCGTGTTGGACAACGGAAAACCTGGCCACGCCGATACACTGGTACTTCTGACCAGGTATTTCTCTCATGAGGTTTATATACTGATATACATTTACATTTGGCACCAATTTTTGTAGTCCTTTCTATTCATATTTTTCTTGTTTTGATGATTTCATGAGCTAGTTTGTTTGATTTTTACATCTTTTTTTCTTTTTCTTTTTTATTTGACAGAGGAACCAGTGGAGGTAACATAACATTCCTGTTTAAAATCATTTATATTGTCATTGTTTCTTAATGCAATTTTACCTATTTTATGAAAAATAAAATACGTTCGCAAATTTCTCCAGAAAATTTCCTTAAGAACGTGCTAAATTTTAATTGCGCTTTTATTAGCTTAAATGACTGAATCCTAGGTAATTAACTGAATGATTAACTACGGTTACACAGCTTCAAGTGTAGGAAGAAGTTCGTTAAAGATTTTCTTGCACCTGTTTCGTAGTATCAAATTTTTGTTGCCATTGCTTTCCGACTTGCAGGATAATAAGATGTTTTTCATTTCGGATCCTAATTTTAACTCCACTTTAACCGCTTTTCATGAGCAGCTGAACTTGGCCCAGTCGACATCTGTCACAACTTAATATGCTAAACAACCCCATAAAATAAGTATACATTTGTCTCTTATAAAACTAGGTCTTGCTCAGGCAAGTTCTACATGCACGACACAGTTTGGTCGCACTGTAAACTCAGACATTGGACTGGCGAGTGCTCTCATCATAGCCCATGAAATTGCCCATTCGTAAGTAGTTCACATAGAAGTTTTTCATATGATCTCAGATATTGGAATTTGGCGTGTTAGGTTTCTATTGCAGAGCAAGTTTTGATTAATTGACATTCTTACTACGTTTTCACTGTTTTCTGTAGGTTTGGCGTCCGTCATGACGGTGCTGGACCTGAATGTCCAAACCATGTTTATCTGATGTCATCATCTGTCAGCGGTGGAAAGCGAGCCATGGAATGGTCCAAGTGCTCCAGACAAGATATCCAGGACTTCCTTAAGTACGTATGAGTCCTTCTTAAGCCTTTTCTTTATCCGTATTCAGTGTCATTTCACTGACTCCATTAGCTCCCTCAGGTATTCATTGTATGATATGTGGGATGCCAGCCCACGGTAGTGAAGTTAAGCTAGACTAGACCGGCCCTATAGCAGTCAGGTCCCAACTATTCCACTCATAATAACAAAGTATATGGCGCTCCTTTTTAAAAACCTTGCCTAAGCACAGCCTACTTTAACTCTAATGATGCAGCGTGTTGGGCATGATGAAGAAGGAGCAAGAGGTTATAATTAAAAGGATTGTTGTTGTTGTTTAAAGAATCCTAATCAACTACGATGCACTGCGCGTCGGAAACAATGCAAGAAAAGGAAGGAAAGTCTGGGAATTCGAGGGCTTTGGCATAGCGAATTTGCAGAAATGTTGCTCCACCAGTGCATGGAAGAGCTCCGAGAACGAGGCAAACGATGTAAACAATAATATAGGGGCGAAGTGCATTTTAGTTGACTAGGATTCTTTAGTTGTTTGTTAATGTTTGTGGCTGTTGTTTGGCTTCCTGGATTCCTTTCCTCAAAATTACATTCATTGTTGAGCAAAGGCCAAAAAGACGTAGAGTTTGAAAATAATATGAACCTACCACACATTCCATTTTGTTGTGTTATCAATAGTGGACCAAGGTCATCGTGTCTTGACAATAAGCCTCCAGGAGTATCAGGGTTTGCAGATGTCGACCATCTCATTCCAGCCAAATACACCAAGATGCTTCCTGGTCAAATCTTTAATGGCACAGCACAGTGTCAGTTACAGTATGGTCCTGATTTCTTTCACTGCGCTCAGAAACAGGTTGGTTATAAAAACAACCTCCTATGGTAGTCTAGGGTACTTTGAAGGACCTTAAGGTGTGCTACCAATCGATGCTTCAAGATTAATAATTATAATAATAATAATTTATTATTTGTATGGCGCAAATGCGCATGTGAATAGGATCAAATGGTTCCTTATGTACTGTTTCTTTGCATACTCTGACTAACTAGTAGTAACTGACTAAAGTAACTTAGAAGATCAATGTTAATTATTGTTTTGTATTACGCTTTAATTAATGTTTTGCCGAACTCAATTGATGCACATCTACTTCTTTTGATTTTTCTAACTGTAGTCTGACTGCGGGCGTCTCTTCTGTTCCAATGACGGCGTCCAATGTCACAGCTTTATAGCACCATCAATGGACGGCACAAAATGTGGGGAAAGACATGTAAGTTTATGCATAAAAAACTAATGAATACTGATAGCAAGGCAGAAAAGAAGAGGAAGTTTTAAAAGAATATGATTCAGCAATAAATAGCAGTCTATGTAGTTCACATAGTGTGCAACAAAATACTTTTTGTCATTTGGAGGAAGCAAGATGGGAAAGGGGGTTACCAATTAATTTTTTTCTGCGTTTCCATCATATATCATCGGTGTTGTAAGATCACAAAATCKAAATTAATAAAGCACCTCGACAGCCTTAAAGGTTCTGGGACTAGCTCAGATGAGTACTCTTTATCTGGACCCCATAATGTTTTTTTTTTTAGAAACTCCGATTCACCTTCTTTTAGATCTGAATCTAAACATGAATGAACCCACAGTGCTCCGGTTTGAAATTACTGTTAACGGCGCATCATGCAGAAAGGATAAAGATATTGACAAGACGCTCTTCGCAAATTAGCGTCATAGAAAACGAGGGAAGAGCAAAGGCAACGTTCTTTAGAAAAGAATCCTATGCAAAAGGATCCAACCCCTTGATCCCACTTGTAATTCCCCCCAGATTGCTAATGACAAAGCTTTGTATTGCTATTGTACTTAGTGGTGTATAAAGGGCCAATGCGTGGATGATGGATCTCCAATGATTGACGGTGGGTGGTCTGGTTGGTCTGAGTACACCAAGTGTTCTAGGAGATGTGGCGGAGGTGTTAAATGGAGAACTCGATCCTGCACCAATCCACTGTGAGTTCATTTGCCAAATTCTAATTCTCATACTCGCTTTTGTAGTATGGTAAACCAACTAAAATTCATCTTATAACCATAGGCCACAAGGAGGAGGCGAAGACTGCGAAGGTGATGAAAGAGGACATTTTGCTCTCTGCAATACACAGGTAGCTTGCTTTATCACCACTAAATATTTATTGAATGAACTGATATGAGTATAGAAGGCTGCAGCTTCGAAAAGAAGATATACTAACATTTATTTTATGATGGTAAAACAACAAACTTATATACGACTATGTCTGCTAGCATTGTCATTATAACCTCAATTGGATTCACTGCAAAAGGCTATTGAGCTATTCCTATATCTCTAGGTGTATCTCTATGATACCCGTGTTGCCAGTCTCAATCGTTGGCTTTGCCACAGTTTTAGAATACAGCTTTGCGTTTTTTCAATTTCTTTTTTCTATTTAAGGATTGTCCCAAAGGCACCAAAACCTACCGCCAGAAACAGTGCGAAGCACACAACCCTGGTTCCCACGTGCACTGGAGTGCAGTCGACCCCTGCCAGTTGTCCTGCCTTAAAGGAAATTTGCTATATTCATACGGTCGAGCGGCCGATGGTTCGAGGTGTAGTGGTGACCCAAGGCTAAAACATGTCTGCATCCAAGATAAATGCTGGGTAACAAGATCTTCATTTTCGTATCATCTTTTCGACTTACCTGTTTTTCAGGGGCGTAGCAAGGTCTCGATTATAAAGGGGGGAGGGAGCACTTTTCCCGTCAAATCCAAAGGAATCAAGCATGAATTGATAATATTTTGATCTCGATAGCGAACTTTTTTGGGGAGCACGTGTCACCCGTTCCCCTTCCCCTTTCCCCTCCGCCCTCGAAAGATAAAAGACTGTAGTTCTCCTTTAGAACGAAACTTCTAATATACTTTTTCCATCTTCATTATTATTTTCTTCCTTTGATTTCAGCCGGTAGGCTGTGATAATAAGCTTTTTTCTGGGACAGAGCATGACCGATGCGGAGTTTGTGGCGGTGATAGCTCATCGTGTACTTTGGTTAAGGGAGAGTACACTAAAGAATGGAGAGGATGGGGTAAGTATCTATCAAGACTCTTGAGCGAAAAGCTGCTATTCTTCGTTTGCATGTTGCGTCATKGCGGCCATGCTGGTACCATTTAACAAAAGATTTCTCATTAGCATCCATTGTTAACAGTACCACAATGGCCGCCATGTTTTTGTCTTTTAACTCTCTTGGGAATGGTTGCAACTCATCAATATATGGCAACGACCATCAAACGGCTCCGCCTCGTGAAACGTCGCCGTCTCGGACCCACAAATTACACTGTTTCCCTCGGTCCCAGTCAATAAGTGTTAATTGTTATATATCATATGTCAAAGTCCATTTTTTCATGATCTGATTGGGCGAAAGGATATCACGTGAGCGTAAACAAGTTGTGATGTTTCCCCGGCAACGGATCTCAGAGGGCAACAATATGCTGTTGACCGGTAATACTGTATCGGAAGTGATTTTCACGGAAATGTAAGTTTTTCCAAGTTTCAAAAATCCAAATAACCAAATAGTCAAATATTCTTTCGTTTTCTTTGACATTTGTTATATAACAAAACAAYTATTGACGGGAACCTCGGTAAGGCAGTGTGTCTTGTGGTCACAAAACACACTGTTTCTCTCGGTCCGAGTCAATAAGTGTTCATTATTCACCTCAATTATGCTCATTCCCTAGGTCCTGGTCATCCAGACAAGATCGTTGACATTCCTACAGGCTCGACCAATATATTGGTATCCATGAGAGAACTTACCACACACTTACTTGGTAAGGAAATTAGCTCTGTTCTTCTTTTATTCTCAATTGCGTCATGGTATAGAATTGAAAACATTCAGCCAATTACATTGCGAGAGATCTCTGTTTATCCAAACGCAACGATAGGGTGCGTCACCGTAACGGTAATGAAAAGACCCCTTGCAGCACTTCGGAATGAAGCTCAATTTAGAAGACATAACAAAAGGTTTCCAATTCTCAGGAGATTGAAATTCTTTTATTTTGTTCCTCCAAATTGAGCTGCTTTGACGTCAAATGCAAGATTAACTACCGATATTTTCGATCTTGTGTTGCCAGGGGTACAAAATGCAAACAATCAATACCTGTACAATGTTGGCTACACATGGAGCACAGTCGTACCAGCAGCAGGGACCAAAGTAGCATACGACCACGAACAACAAGTGTATAAGGATAAGGTCATCATAAGAGGACCCACTACTGAGCCTCTAAAGATTATGGTTGGTATCTGGCTATAATGACGCAAAACTAAGGTGACGTCAGGAAAGGCTGCGAAAATTGATGAAATAAAATTCAAAAAACGTGAACATGCCCGTCGTTGAAAATATTGAAAACTCGTAGAAAAATCACTGATAATTGCAAGGTATTTTTATTATTTGCATTTGGTGGCCTGGGAATCCATAATTTCAAGAGAAAAAGTGACACCTCAGTTTTGCAAATTTACTTGATCTGATTGGCTAGGGTTTTTCTCAGACCATGCAGCTGGTGATACAGAGTTACATGCAGAATAAGTAATCGTGAAAAACATGGCTCGCGGCTTTGACGTTTTGTAAGATCATAGTCAAATGACATTGTTTTCAATGAAGAAAATAAAATACCAACAGATTAGTTCTAGCTTACTAGTATGCCAATAGAAATAGTCCTCTTCACGTAGTTTCCTGCGCCATCTTGAAAGGTATTTAGCCGATCCTTTGCATCGAAGCGAGACGAAGGGAGAGATTGCAGAGATAGAGACACTTGTGAATAATTGTCCAAAGTTTTAAAAATGGTCTCTACCATTGCACGCTCATCGAAGCGAGACGAAGGGTGAGCTTGCAATGGTAGAGACCATTTTTAAAACTTTGGGCAATTATCCGCGACTACCTTTCATGATGGCGCAGGGGACTTTGAAAGGGACTATTACATTCACAAGGATGGCGGAGAACTTCTAAAAGCGACATTAATTTATATTAGCAAAAAAGGGGAAAAAATGATTTAAATTAAGAAGGTTGTCTTAATTTCAGTACGTTGGTCTGAGGAAAAAAAACCCTGGTGTAGACTTCCAGTTCTATACTCCAAAGGAAGGGAAAGTTACTCCTGAAGACACTCGTTGGGATGYTGGCTCATGGACCGCATGTACGGAACAATGCGCTGGAGGTGAGTGCGCTTAGTTTGCTGAGCTGTTTTGATTTCAAAAATCTATGTATTTTTGGTAAAGATTCCGTGAAGATGGAAAACCAAATATATGCGCGAAACTGTAAATTTTAAACTGATTAATGTGCACGCTAAACTATAGTGGGAAAACCAGTATCAAAATATTGCTTACGTTGTAATGTTTTATTACTATAGACCTCCTCGGCTTTTCATTTCGGCCATTTCAGACTACGTGTCACACGGAAATGATAATCTGGGGACTGACACGTGGTCTGAAATGAAATGGGAAAACATTACGCCCGAGCCGAGGAGGTCTGTGTGCAGCTCCTGTAACAGAAACAAACTGGCTGAGTAAGTTGATCAACAGCTGAGGTGTTCTACAAGAGGTCGTGCGTCAAAGCTCTGGCAATGCCACTAATGTGAAAAGAAAGTGCTAAGCTGTAATTAATCCACAAACAATTTCACAACTACGTTATAGACATGTGACGTCAAAGGAGCTTAGTTTGGAGAACAAAAAAAACCCTGAGAATTGGAAACCCATTGTTATGTCCTTCAAATTGAGCTGCATTCCAACGTACTGCAAGGGGTCTGATTAGTAACATATTTGGAATAAAAACCTTCGTATCTTAAAGACCCGACATTCAAATGACGAAATATTTTCACAATCAACTATCCACTATCTAAAGAATCAATTCTGAAAATATTGTGTAAAGGCTTACAAGCACTTTAATAAATATTTCGTATCAAAACCCTGTTTCGATAATGTCATTGGCACCTAATATGTCAATATTCATTTCAAAGGTTTCCAGGCTCGTTCTGTGAAATGCGTGCGGAAGGATGACAAATCATGGGTAAACGATAAAGTTTGCTTGAAATCTTCAGCCAAACCAGAAATCCAGCAAAAATGCAACACAGATCCATGTCAACCCAGGTACGTCATTCCTTCTGATCCAAAATTTGAAATGTTTCTTCTTCATCATCATCTTCTTCTTCTTCTTCTTCTTCTTCTTC